TAGATTTTCAGTACAAATCGGCAATTTCATACTTTAACCCCTATTATTTAAAAAATCTTCGGAAATTCAAACAACTTCGCTTCTGACTGGCTGCTTTTTCATATCATACTAACCTAACCTAACATACTAAAGGGGGTGCATACTCAAGTTCGACCCTGCCCAGGGATTATATTTTTGGATTCACTTGTACATTAGGTCTGGTCATAAACATGAAATGGGTAATTTCTAATAATAGTCTTTCGGACAATGATATTTTAGTGTATATTTCTGTGTTACAAATATATACAAAAAACAGTCATCGCACTAATGAAAAAAGTCGAATCGTGTTCATTATAAGGAAATGAAATTCGGAAAACAGAAATTCGTGTTAGTGATAGGTTACTATTTAAAAACACACATGTGGTACGAGGTTGATATTCTGTAAAATTTGCAATTTTTGACGACATAAACCGAAATTTTTCAGGTATATACCGTGTTAACTATGATACACACAACTGGGAAATGTTGGCTAGTGCCCTTAAAAATGATCACGATAGCATCCACCATTTAAATAGGGCTCAGGTAAGACAAAAGGCTCTCTCACACAACAACATACAACAACATATTTAATATAACAATTCACTTCATCGAACGTTTAATTTAAACTTACAGTCTATAATTTAATTTTTAACGGGCTTCAAAAAAAGGAGGAGGTTCTCAATCCGTCTGATTGTTTTTTTTATGTATGTTACGCGATAACTCTTTTTGTCAACCGATAACTAATTTGTGAACCGATTTTGATGATTCTTTTTTTGTTGTTTTTGTTGGTTTTCAAGAAAATATTCCACCTCTAAGGGTGGCAAACTAGAGGATGAATGACTTTTGAGGTCGGTTTTTTTAACCGGAGGTTAGGTTATGCTAACACTCTTTAACTTTACCACTCATTTTTAATAACAATTATAAGTTATAAACCTCATTTTTCATAACACCAGTTGTTTTAAATATTTCAGTTAAAAACGATATCCCTATACTAATATTATATTAATTATAGTATAATTTACATGAAAACATGTTCCGAAACGCAAACAAATTCGCTTCTGGTACTCGCCGGTTGCAGTCAAGACACGCTCACTGCGCTAGCTCGGCTCGTGTTGCTTTTTCATAAATACTAACCTAAACTACTGAATTCAATCAAGATTTGACCTATATAAAATACATAATTTGTTTTTTTTTAAACCTCCAAGGAATCCAGTGTATAACAATAACAATTTTGTTGAAACAGAGATTCAGTAACTTGCCACAGTCAATCAGGTTTAACTTTATTATTTATAAAAAGTGATATTAAACCTCGTAAAAATGATTTAAATTATTTTAATATGTAAAATGATTGGTCTTATAAAACATGAATGTTATAATGATAGAATTTTATAGTTACAGATTTATTTTTATTTATTTATATATGTACATACATATATTTTTTGAGGGACATACCTCTAGGCTGATTTATTTATTTAATCCAAGTAAAAATTATGTTAAATGAACGGTATATCTTTCAAAATTGGTTTATTTGGTTTTCACACAAGTGAGGCGCACCTCATTTCGAGCACATATATGTAGTAACTTTTTTTTTCTTAAATCGTTTACAGCTGAGCTATTGTTTCGTTTTAGATCGTCGATGATGTGTTCGCCCTCATGCGCGCTGAGAAAATTGCTTACAATCTGGGCTTCCAAATTCTTGACTTTTTAAAGCAGGACACGAGTTATTACGTTTGGTTCCCTGCTATTTCTGGCTTCAACTGGTTTAGAAATCGTTTCCTGCATTTACCTGAAGTTTTGGCTGAATATGACGTAAGTGTTGATTCATGCTTGAGTTGATTATCTTTTTTCCTTTTAAATTGTAATGTTAATAAGCAAATAGTCATATAAAGTACCTACGACTTTGGATTTTCTACGTTATTTTCAGGAAATTCTTCACGAATTCCTTGACGCAGTGATCACGGAACTAGGTTACGATGTACCGCAAAATGAGACTCTGACCCGTACTTTGAATCGCTTCTACGTCCTGAGTTTCGCCTGCAGTGTTGGCCACAAAGGCTGTATTGATGATGCTATCGCCAAGTACCAGACCTACAGGAACGGCAATCCGTGGGTGATAGAAAACTTTTTATATTCATTTAACCTTAATTTAGGCATCGCAGCAGCAAAGCAGCAATGTTTACGATCTCGGTGGCCTAATGGATTGCACTATGGGTGCTAAGTTGAAGATGGATACGACGACGAACGGGTTCGATTCAAAGTAGAACTAATTTGTAAAATGAATTTTTCTAAGTTGCTTTTAATATGGGTGTTCTGGGCAGAACCCTGGAGTAAACTCCGTTCCTTTAGTACCCTTAGTGCATAGAGTGAATGTCCTAGTTTGATTGACCACACCAAAGCAATTGGTGTGGTTGTGAGACACGTTATTATTACGTTATTTTTATTTTAGCCCCGCACTAGGGAAACCTTGTATCGCAGGTGCCAAGGACACACACATAGACAACCAAACTCACGAAAGAAATACATTTAGGCCAAACGAATATTTCTCTTGGTCTGGAAATCGAACCCAGGACCTCTGCGTGGCAGTCCAGGATAGTAACCGTTCGGCCACGGAGGCAGTTAATTAATACGAGGCTTTTAACAAATAACTAGAAAAATTTGGTTTATAGGCACAATTTGTTCTGCATTGTTCGCAATATACATATATCAATATATGTATATAATAACATATGTTATGATGATTTTCGTGCGATTGCATTCATTGTCTTTACGAAAATTAATTTCCCAGCAACACAATATTTACTGACAAATCACGTAAGTTATGTAAATGTATGGAAAAAAATCTAATGGTACGTTTGTCCTACTTGTAACAAGGGAAGGGCTAGCGTGTTTACTGACTATTTGTAAAGGACGATATATTCGAACTCATCAAACAAAGTAACTGCTTTACTTTAACCGCGCGGAAATTGATCGGGTCTATGATTTATTTATTAGTTTCAAAACATTGAGTAAACCTTGCGCCCGATAATATTATATAGAATATTATATATATAGACTATCTATATAAAATATAGAAAATAGGGATAGTAAAGAAAGTTATATTGCAATTTCTTAAGAAATTAAAAGCAATCATTATAAACTTTGAACTTAAAACTTTGACTTCAGAGCTCCATTAACTGCCTCCGAAGTCGAACGAATACCTTACTGGACTCCCACGCAGAGGTCCCAGGTTCGAATCCTGATGAATATTTATATGGCCTACAGTTATTTCTCTCGTGAGTTTGGATGTAATTTGTGGTGTCTATGTGTGTGTCCATGGTACCTGCGACACAGGGTTTTCCTAATGCGGGGCTATGAGCGTGTGTTAAAAAAATACAGACATTACGATCCCGTATTGACGTATGTCAGAAGTGCTTTTATCAAACTTTATCAAACGAAAGTTAAAAATAATACGAACTACATGAAAAAAAATGTATTTTGTTTGATATTTTATAACTCTCCTATTTATGTATAAAATAATCTAAGCACAGAGTACTAAAACAACCGACATCAAAAGTTCGTGGAATATATCTATTTGCCAAGTTTTCTTGAAATCGGTTACCGGAAAGTGCGCGAAACCGGATTCATATAGTTTGCCACCCTTAGAGATGAAATTTTCCTTCAAATTTAAATGAGACTAATACCTTCTATTCAATAAAAAAGAACCATCAAAATCGGTTCACAAATGACGGAGAATCGCGTAACAGACATACAAAAAAATACAGTCGAATTGAGAACCTCATCCTTTCTTTGAGTCGGTTTCATTCTTAGAATCTTTAAGCCTCTCTCCTGAAAAGTTGTCATATTGCAAACGTGTACTTATCACGCCAACGGTGCTAAAAGGTATTTTTTATTGTATAATACTAAACTAAACTTTGCTATTTACGGAAACTGCTACACATCAGGGGCCTTAGAGTAAGCTTTCAAATATGTAAACTTTTAACTATCGCGTTTGCTTTAAGATTTTTATTTAAACTTTATATAAACATACTATTAAGATGTAAATAAAAATTTTAACGCAAACACGGTAGTTAAGTTTGAATGATTACAAATTTACAATCAGGCCTCTGTACTACTTTCAATTACATTTTTCTGTTAACTTTTATTGATATAAAATTAGAGGAATCACTGTTATCTGAATCACATTGATAGCGTAACAAAATTATGCTTTATTTTTTCTAAATACACAGATAATATTTAAAATTCTTTCGTCGTCTCCTCCTAGTCTTTATCACTTTTATTTATTGTTCCAGAGTGAGCCCTAATATCCAAAGACATGTATTCTGTCAAGGCATTCTTAATGGCGGTTATGATGATTGGGCATATCTTTATCAAAAGCGAATAGACTCTAACAACCAGGCGGCTGCGGTACAGATGTTGCGCGGACTTGGATGTACTACTAATCAACAAGCTATTGAAAGGTAACCTACTCAGTCGTACTTTATGTAATCGTAATTGACTTTAATAATTAATTACTTTTGGAACTTACGGGATTTAATTGATTTTTGGAAGTTACGGAAACGAACGTAAGCAGCGACTTAGGAATGTCAGGAATGTAACAAATGTCTTTCTTTGTTTTCGTCAACCACATGACTTAATCAGTTAATCATCATTAAACACGCACACATACACGACAGTTTTAATTGTTAATTTACGGTTACCTATCAGGAATCCAAAATGACATTTTCCAGAAATAACATTTGGTCGAAATTTCATAACCTCGAAAGTAATTTTGAGAGGAAAATGTTTTTTCTTCTAAACCTAACTTAACTTATAAGTAAGTAAGTCGCAAAGACACGATTAGGTTAAGACCTAATCGTGTCTTTGCGATAAACATTCAACATATCCTGAAAGAACAACTGTTTCGTTATAATTCGGTTTTCGGTGTAATGAAAATTCGAACAAATGTTATTTCGGACAAAAAAAATTTCAACTTTGTGATAGGTTACCGTAATTTATACTTATAATCGTCACAAATGAGAATAACACCTTTTGACACTTGTTATCGCAACATGCGCAAATAGGGTTGTGAACTAAATATATCGATTAACATATTAAACGATTATCATGAGAAATTGATTCGAAATTAGCAGTGTCACTTAGAGCTTTAAATCGCAAAGATCTGAGGTGCACTGCCTCTGCGCCCATCACCCCGAAACATAAGTTGAAAAGTTCCATATGCCTGTAATTTCACCAGCATCCTTACCCTTTAAAACCGGAACGCAGAAATGCTGTCATTACTGCTTGGCGGCAGAAACAGGTAAGGTAATACTTCACTGGATGAACTCTTTCACAAGGAACTCTACAAGGAGATTATTTTTCGGGTCATTTGTTTTCAGTTCTAGATAGAACAATTAACATTTATTTAAGCAATATTGAGTTCAATATAAATCATAAGTAAGTAAGTAAGTATTTAAAATGATCACAATGACAATCTGTAGTTGTTGCTGTAGTGTAGTTACATCGTTACATTAACAGAGTTCACAAGGACAACTTGTGGTTAAATAGCAATCTTTATCAAAATCATAATCAAAAAGTGAATATTGTTTTAAGTGAAATTGAATTGACTCGGTGAAATTCGACTATTAATTGGTTACAACTTTATTATTTAAAAAAAAGTCTATTGTGGCCGCCATTGTTTAAGAGACGTTTCGGACTAACTCTAAATTGCATATAGTTTTGAAATTTGTGGGAGAATATTACTCAAAATATGGTCTATCATATTGGTGTTTTGTATCAATAAAACGTATTTTTTGAAAACCCAATAAGTTAATAATTGTTTGCTTACACATCAAAATATCGTCTTCATCTTCCTTAGCTGTCAAATTGGGCCTCTTGCATTGTGACCACTTTAGTTACAAATTCTGTTTTTATAGCACTAATTTTAATTTATTTTTCTACCCTATGTTGTAACTATATCATATTTGTATTTTGTATACATAGTGCGTTTCTGTAACTGGCTTTTGTACTGCTTATAACATATTTATAAACGATGCATAAAATTACTGTACAAACTTTGTTGATTTAGCAAAATAAATATAAAATATAATTAATAAAAAATTTTAATAATTTGTAAAAATAAGTACATCGATAGGATGCAGTGGATGCAGGTTACATAAGCATATTATCTAATATATCTTTATAATAGTATGCTATCTTATATAAGTAATCTTACGGCACGTGAAAAGTGAAACTTCGTAGAAAATTTAAATTTTCGTTTACAACATTATTTTACTGCATTTTCCTTGAACAATTTTAACCTACCACTATTTAATATTAAGTGTAGCGTTTACATCAGATAAGTTTTTCTCAGAAATCATTAACAAATGAATATGCGGTATGCATATTCATTTGTTACAATACTTTAAATTTAATAGTAATTTAATGAAATATTTGAATATTATCAGAAGGTACCACATTAGCGCGTTTGATTTGGACCCCTACGAAAACGTCCAAGAACGATGTATAACTTCCAACAAACCTTTTTAGCTTATTACCTGGATTATAAGAGTACTAATAAAAACATAAAATATATATAACGTATATAATTATATAGTGTATATAATTTATACTATGATACTATAATCCTCTTGTTTAGCTAGGGCGGGTAGGTAATAACCTTAGAGTGGCAATTTGAGCTCAAGGAGGCTGCTGTCCTTACGATTATTTAGGTCCAAACGAAACAAGTAGAGCAGTTCCTATAATTCACCCTTATGAAATATCTATAGTAATATCTTGTTAGAGATGTTTTCCGCTTGAACGTTATTATTTAGGTGTTTAGATTCAGAGTATAGATAAACAAGATCAAACTTGATAGTTTACAACATCAATAAAAGTATATGGGGTGAAATGATTGGTAATCAGGAACATAATATAATTAAGTGGTCTTTTATTTTCAGGCATCTGAATTCGATTCTAAGTGAAGAAGTTAAAGCCCAAGACCGATTGAACGCGTTCACCTTCCTATTCCAAGGAGATCGGGGTAATGGTAGAGCTGCACTGCCTTTCATAAAGGAAAGAATTGATGACATAAGGAAAGGGTAGGTTGTATTTGCACGACGTACATTTTCTGCCTTTTTAGACTAAACTGTTAATTGGCATTGCATTCGCAAGTTCACAAGCCAACAAATTTCTTTAGGACTCTGAAATGGTGGTGCTTTTGTTGACTTTTAATTTTAACGTCCGCTCAGGGGGCCTATCATAACCTTTCCAAAAATAATCTTATTTCAATGTAAGCTTAAAGTAAGTTTATCATAATATTACTCTTATTCGTAACTGTCAACGAAGTAATGTATTATTGCAAATGTGATTGAAAGAACGAATGATTTCCCAATATTGTCTATTCCTTACTAAAAATAGGAAAGAGATAACGCTATGTGATCTATATAATGTCATCTTTTTCTTTTTGATGTTCCGAATCGTCGTATTATGTTTAAGTACTTAATATTATTTACATTCAGAGAATTTTGACTGTTAAAAATAGAAAATTATGTAATAATAAATCTGTTAAAATTACGTTGTTATCAATAATTATTCCGCATTTTCATGAAGAAAAATAAATAAAACATTGTTTCCATTGCATCCGTATAACTATTTTAAGTTTGCTAAATTTGACATAAGAGCAATATTACTTTAATGTTAAAGTCGCGTCATAGTACGAACTGAGTGAATTAATAGTCACAAAGCTGCCAATAAAACATCATAGCTTTAACATTACAATAAGCTTACTTTAAGCGCATTATGATACGAAGAGTCAATGTAAGGTTAAAGTAATATTGTTTTAAGAGGTCGTGGTAAACCTTATTGCATTGTTTATAAGGAATTTCAAGATAATATGTTTTTTATTTGTTTCTAGGGTGGTTCTTGCTGCATCGTTCAATAGCTTTTTAACTAATTTAGCTAGTAATATGGATGAAGAAGGATTAGTGGAGGTGAGCAATTTTTAAAAATATCCACTGTTTTTAATTCACAAGAATTTATTACCAAACTATGATATTATATGTATATTGTTTTTTAGTTGGAAGAGTGGCTCCAGACAAACCCTATTCCCGAAGCTTCTGTAGGTTTGAACGCTATTACGTCAGCACGATCCAACATGCACTGGGGCACGCAGAATGCTGATGTAATACTCACAGCTGCTCGGGGATCAGCAACTGTCTTCCTACCTACAACCATAGTGCTGATTGCTAGCTTAGTTGCTCTATTTTTAATATAGACTATGCACAAGAAAGTTGAAAAGTAATCTTGTTAAAAGGCCAATCCTGCAAGCGCGCTTTTTACATACGCGTAATTCAAATATAAACTGTGAAAACTCAGAGTAATTGATTGACCAAAAAGTCCTTGCGGTTTTTACCACTATCTAACTTAAAAAAAAACATTTTTCTTCTAAAATGTTGTCTATGGTCATTTTAAAAACAAATTCTAGGACACATTTCGAAATTACGCGGGAAAGATTTTAGTTTATAGCATGTTTATAGAGATGGCAGCATATTCAGCTACATATAAACAGACTTTGTTCCGTTGCACTGGAGGCGACATTCGAACAAAAGTGTATAGCATGATGTGCTGTTGACTGTACACTAATACCGCACGGACTTTTGGCTATTATTGGCCGTGGTTTGTCAGTTTTCCGTTAATTTAATTACAATTACTTGAGCTAATAAACTCAACGTGTTCAATTTTATTACAATTTCTTAAAATATTAGAATATTTTCTACAAATTTAAAGAAATAATAGCAACAATTGTTTGTAGCTGTTTGTATAGTTTTATTTAAATATAGCCTCTGTAAGGTACAACTCAATCGCGCGGCCCTGTACATTTGTCCTTTTAAGATCATACACCATTGTATTTTTGTAGTTTCTACTGTTTAAATACCACAATCAGATTAAATAAAAACATGATATCATTGGCACAATAACAATTTAACCAAAATAAAACGAACTGAACAAACTATACTTTTTTTTCATTACGAGTATACAACCTAAGAATCCAAACCCTATCTTTATCTAAACATATCTTTGTCTAAACAGATAAAGGAGTTGAGAGCATGGTGACGTGTTGTATTATCAGGTAACTAGGTTTTCTAAGACGACCTCGGTTGTCGAGTGGCTTGCACGCCGGTTTTCTTGGTGTTGCCATCTCTGAGATCCCGGGTTCGATCCCCAGCTTGGTCGAAGGTCTGAATGTATGTAGTACCGCCCGATTTTCTTACTTATGTTATGGAAATCGGAAATCGTTAATTACCTATTTTGGGGTCAGAGCAACGTATGTGATATTTTCTAATATTTATTTATTTGTCCATATCCACGTTTTTTTTTCAACTTGTTACCTTAAGTACGGCAAAGTACGTATTCAAAAGTATCTAAAAAATTACGTAATTATTTTATTTATAATTTGTTATGATAGGACAAAGTATAAGCATTCTATGTCATCTAGAGGAAAGTAGGTAGGTACTTGATCCACTCTTCATAATAGCAAACAGTAAGAAATTGTATATCTGCAAATATAAGAACCGTGATAACAGGTATTTGAGACTAGTGATATCATTGTACGCGTAGTTACAAAATATATAACTGTACTTATAACGAAATTCAAAATATTGTCTTGATGAAAAACCGTTTTTAACACAATGTCATGTTGTCGCTCGCGATCGCGTTAATTAATTGTGTCGGTTAATCATTATATGTAGTATAATAATAATATATAATGATAATAATAGCCCCGCACCAGGGAAACCCTGTATCGTGAGTGCTATGGACACACACAAATTACACCCAAACTCACGAGAAAAACAAATGTAGGCCATACAAATATTTTCTCGGCCCGGGAATCGAAACCGGGACTTCTGCATAGCAGTCTAGTATGGTAACCGTTCAGCCACCGAGGCAGAATATGACTATAAAGTCATTGTAAAGAGACAGGTTTTCCTTATTTCCGCAACGTTACGTATTCTTATAACTGTATACCGATGCTATATGTGTAAAGCCGAGGAGTTACTTTTAGCCCTCAAATTACGGTGCTAACACCGACTTATTATATGACCAGAAAATAAATTAACCATTACAAGGACTGCAATAATATTAAAGACTTACTTACTTACTCCGCTGGCTCAGCGACACAAAGTGGATCTTGGCCTCCGATATGAGTTGGCGGCAGCGCGCCCTATCCTGTGCAATCTCCTCCTAGTTTTCTGCGTGAAGGGCGTCCAGTTCCATCGTGGTGAATGTGCACCGATCCCACGGCGCCGACTCAATCGGCGGGAGGTAAACCCGGGGGGGTTTTAGTGGGTTAGGCCTTCCAGTCTGAGGGAGAGTCCCCACATAACCCCCGAGTCTCCCTGGGCTCAGGGGTATCTATAAAGATTTCCCCCCTTAAAAAAAGGGCGTCCAGTTCGTTCCATCATCGATATTCGGGCAAACCAACCGTTCGTTGGCCACTAGGACGTCCAATATAGGAATTTTTTAGTGCCCTATGAGCTGGCATCCTTCGAGCCAACCAAGTCTTGCGGACTTGACTTCTCCGATGATACTGGGCTCGCTCAGACACGGTATCCTCCAAATCTTGGTTCTTAAGACTAACACTGCAAAAATATTTTCATGTCACTATCTCCGAAAGACTTTTCTTATTAGAAATCTGTTTTCTCATTACTAATGACGATGGACTGCGGTGCTCCTAACTTTTTGTTTCGATAAAAAAAACATGATGACATGTTCGACTACGCGATTTATCGTACATTATTTAAGTAATTTAAAAATCCGTTGGTATATTCTTATTTTTACTGACATTAAATTGACAATGATAACTCATTTTGTTCATTAAAACCTAAAGATTATAATTGTTTGTTACAGTTCAACTGTTTTCCTTTCATCTATCATTTTCCTCGCTATAGTGTGGTGAAAAATTGTGTGTTTCGCTCGGCAGCAAAGTTGTTTTGCGTCTCGTGGCTTGAAACCCTTGCTACGCTCAGGACTCTATTTTTAATCTTGGTCTCCTTCGCTTGCTCGGGTTTCAATACAAGCAGTCGCGTCAAACAATAACTTTGCAGCCTTGCATAACAAACAACTATGACCAATAGTGTATACTTAGTTATTTACATACAAAGATACAAAAGGTTAACATAAGTAAACGTTATAATACTAAATCTAAGGCTACTTTTAATGGGCAAAATTCGGTCCATCAGCATTGTGTCCCCAATGTCAGCAAGGTAAGTGCTAGTCCTCAACCCTCGCAGTCAATTCATTGATTTGTATATAATTTTCTAGCAAGAATTTGTCCGTGAATTAAGTGCAGTGTCAATTTCGAAGGGTGCGAATAAGTATTAGGGGCTGAGGTAGTGGTACTTTTGGCTTTTTAATCAGCTCTATCTATGAGTCAGATCTCATACCACTGTTTAAGAGAGTTCGGGTCCAATGTATAACAGTGACTATGTTTTTATTAAAATTACTTTTGAATGAAATCATCATAAAAACAAATCCTGTAGATAGATAATATATGCGCCGTCAGCCGTCACAATGCATTGGGACGGTTACTTGGCAGGTCTGAATTGGACAAGAATATGCATACAAAATAGCTTTATGGCAAAATAGATGTCAACCGATTTTTTGGCTCAAGTCGGCCATTCTCACATTCGGTGTTCTCAGCGAATTAGATCTAATTACCGTTTCCGTAAAATATTTGTTTCTCAATAATTCAAAAAGTACTGTGTCTATTCTAAAGCTATATTTTTAGATACCTATATTGATAGTTAAGCTTTAGGTTATTCATATGTCAACGTTATTGGGTATATTAATTTTTTTAAATATTTGAATTAAGCGAGAAAAAATAATAGCTACTGTAATTGGGCTGCGGACCCCGAAATGGCTACGGTAAACAGGAGAATGGCCGAAGTATAAAATGGGAAGACGGTTTTTTAAAAAAAAATAGTTATTTTAGAAAAGTAGGAATTATTTATTTTATATAAGAATTACTGTCGCCATGTAGAGTTTGTACTCTTCATGCTAAGATGGCATATACGTTTATCGCAAAGTGTACATTATTTAAAGAACCTTGTATAGATATAGATACGTGCAAAAGTTGATCTTTAAAACCGCTGAATTAACTCAGCGGTAACAGTTTACACAAAGGTGCCAAACTGTAGACAACAGGTTTGTGTTTTTTATATATTTTAATCATTATTATCTACCAATTAATTTATTTTAATAATTTATTAATACGTATAATCTATACTATATATATATAATAGGGGTTAAAGTATGAAATTGCCGATTTGTACTGAAAAT